AGGGCCACTGTCACCATCGTCGGTTTACTTAAGCAGCCTAGTAACTGTAATGAAATAGAAAGAGATAGAACTATTTCTATCTCTTTCTATTTCTTTACAGTTACTAGGCTGCTTAAGTAAACCGATGCTTAAGTAAAGAAATAGAAAGAGATAGAAATAGTTCTATCTCTTTCTGTTTCATTACAGTTACTAGGCTGCTTAAGTAAACCGACGATGGTGACAGTGGCCCTAAAAGATGAACATTGAAAAACACATGGTAATCCATAATTTTTAAATAGAGTTTTCATGCATCTTATCATCATACAAATTAATATTTTGTACCCGATTTTTTAAATATTATAGATATTTGGCATCTGGCGATTCTATGGTGTCGATGTCCTACCAGTACCTTGTAGGAGTAACAACGGTTAGCAACATTATTAAAGAAACGTGTGCAATAATTTGGAACAGTTTGTGCCCTTTAGTTTTACCTAGCAGATTAGAAGAAAAAGATTGGTTAGATATAGCTAACGAATTTGAGAAATGGAATTTTGCGCACTGCATTGGAGCTATCGATGGCAAGCACGTTATTATTCAAGTATGTACATTGTTTACCAGGGAGTCAATTGTGTATCTTGAAATTAGGTGAAAATTACAAAAGTGAGCAAATTCACTAAATATTGATTAATTAAATTATGAATATTTGAGTAAATTTTCTCATTTTTGTAATTTTCACCTCATTTCAAGATGCACAATCGACCCCCAGTACAAAATATATATAATATATCTCTGTTTTTTACAAAATAAGTAAAATTAAATTAAAAATGACAATTTTCTGTTTTAGTCTCCCAATAACGCCGGCTCAACATATTTTAATTACAAAAACAGCTACAGTATTATTTTGATGGCTATCTGTGATGCAAATTACATTATCCGTTTTGTAGACATCGGAGCCTACGGACGACGCAGCGATGGTGGCATATTTCAAGACAGTGCCATAGGAAAAGCCTTTGACGAAGGCCGAATGAATGTTCCGCAACCGGCCGCTATTGCAGATAGTCCTGTGTTACCCTTTTGTCTCGTAAGAGATAAGGCTTTTCCCATGAAGCCATATTTGCTTCGCCCGTATCCAGGTAGAGACTTAACACCGGAACAAGCCGTGTTCAATTATCGTTTAAGTCGAGCAAGACGATCAATTGAAAACACCTTTGGTATACTTGCCAGTCAATGGCGAATATACAGAAAGCCAATTATCGCCAGTCCTACAACTGCCTCAAGAATAGTTCAGGCACAACTGGGTGCTTACACAATTGGCTTAGAAAAAATGATATTGATGTAAACGAATATGTACCTCTCGGTATGATCGACTCCGACGATCCACTCAATCCAAGTGGTTTCAACGCAGGGTCTTGGAGAAACATCACAGAAAATGGCTGCGCGTTCAAAGATATAACAAACTGTGGCTCTAACACAAGTGCCCGAAGATGCATAAACATTCGCAACGAATTTTGTCAATATTTCAATAACGAGGGAGTAGTGTCATGGCAATACGATCGTCAAAGTTAAAAATAAACAAATATCGCATTAATTTTGTTTTTAAACAATTGTATTAATTTGACTTGCGCTTCATAACTATGTAAACTTATTTGCTATTTTATATTTATTTAAATAAACAATATTTCCTATTAAAATGTAATTTTTATTTTATTTTAGAAGATACTAAGGTTCAATAAGTATAAAACAATATCAATAATAAAGGGTACAGAACCATTATAATATATGTATATGTAATAAACAATTTAAATACAATTTAAATACAAAAATCAAACAGACGTTTCGACTACGTTTGAGACGTTATTTCATCATGCAACTCCAGGTTTATCTCACGGAGTTGGGCAGCTATCATGTTTCCAATTATGGTTGGTTTATCAAGTGCAGCTTGTGCAGGAGGTAACATTTGTTTTACTTGGTCCATATTAAAAGATATCGGCAATGCCAGGGAATCGGCAATCCGGTCTAATGCACTGTCTTCGCTCAAGCGACGTTTTCCTATAAAAATATTCACACCTAATATTTTTCAACACTATAAAGTCATAATTTTTACGTTCTTTATAAAAGTTTGTATTTTATTTGAAAATATAACCTTCTAATACCTTAATAAAATGAACATACGTGATACCAATGCTGCTGCTGCTATTGCTGTTGTCACAAATTGAGCTGACCATGTCCATTGAATCATTACAGTCTGAATCAATATTGCTGATAGTTCTATAATGAAAAGAAAATTTGATTATTACATACACACACGTATATAGTAGTATTGTTCGTTTTGTCTCTCGGAAGCTGCTCGAAGTCGCTCCGAACGAACTCAGCATATTTGATAATGAGCTTTTAGACATGTAAAACACTTGCAGTGTTCTTTTAGAATCTAAACGAGCATTAAAAGAACACTACAATTGTTTTACATGTTTAAAAGCGTTCTATCAAGTATGCTGGGTTCGTTTGGAGCAACTCCGAGCAGCTTCCGACAGAGAAAACGAACAATACTAATAATTAGTATTATTATCATTAATATATGCATACTTGTTCTGTAGCTGAAGATCACGCAAAAAATTCATACATTGCAAATGTATCCACGGTCTTCTTCGACTTGGTGCAGCAGATACACTCGCTGCTTGCTCCTTCTTCGAATAAATTCGAAAAGAATCCGATAGTGACTTCCACTTCTTTTTAATGGAATCAATGGAATATGTTCCTAAAAGAAAACATTCATAATTCGATACATCAATGTTTTTTCACTCAAATGGATTTGATTCAACTTCAAAATCTTTATTGATACGAGTGTAGAATTGTTCAATAAACAAATATTGAGTGCTTAATAGTTCAAAATAATACAATTTATAATTTACAATTTTAGTCAAAATAATACAATTTACCGCCAAGAGCCGCAAACATTTCTTCCCAGAGTTTCTTTTTTATCTGTGGGCTGCGTTCAATCAGAGGTAGTTTGAAGTTCCATAAGGCAGGTCGTCGAGACACTTCATCAATCAGTTACTCTTCCATGACTAATTTATTTGGTTCGAAATCCGTTACCTGCCGTGAATCGTGCTGTGAATTTACAACTTTTGTACGTGGCATATTTGTAACAACGACAGCCTCAGTACCATCAGCCATCAAACTCTTGCGGACTATAACTCCGTCCTCTACACATAATAATATTATTAAGATTTTATTCCGACCGACAGGAAATAAAATACTAAGTATAAGCTATTATAGTTAATCACAAAATCACAGTCAAAATAATCTAGAAATTCCTACTCACCACACCGAGGGTAACAGTACAAATTGTCATCAATGATATAATGATTGTATCCCTCAAAACATGGATGTTGTTCCAAATCATCCTTGTTATTAAAAATAGTCTCACAAACGCCACATGTATATGAAATATCAAAATTGTCCTAAAATACAAATAAATGTTTAGTACTATATATGCTATAAATATATGTTTATATAAATAATGATACAAGAAAGGGTTACAAGCCTATAATAAATAAATGTTATAAATTTAAATTTAAATTTATGTTATAAATGTTATAAATTTATATAATAAATGTTTAATACAAAATATAACCAACTATTGAAATATTTTACATTACAAGTCTAATAAATCATAAACAAATCGTAAAATAAATAAGTAATTAAACATATACGTAAGTTTCGAACCGATTGGGTCATTTTCAATGATGATGTTAGAGAGATTAAATAATAAAGTATCAATTATAAAAAATTTGTCAATTTTAAATTACATTAAAAATTGTAAAGGAAAATATAAAAAAATAACATTAAATATTAAGTAAGTCGTAGCCCTTTATTTCTTGTATCATTATTTATTGAACGATAAGGTTAGAAAAGCATGTACCACGAACACGGATATCGTTGGCTAAATTATTTTATATTTGTGATAAATTACAATATATAAACGTTTCGGTCGCGAATAGGACCTTCTTCAGTATACAAGATTATTAGTTTAATCTTAGCCAACAATATCCGGCGTTCGTGATACATGCCTTTTTAACCTTATCGTTTTATATTATTACCGCGTGTTTAACCTATATTGTTATTATTTATTGAATTTATTGAGCCTTGTTACTTATATATGTTCAATATGTTTATATATTTATATACTCACTTCGTTTAAATTCATTGTCGAATCATTCATCACTTTCATATAGATCTCTTCACTCTAGCTTTAAACAGACGTTAATATAAATGTCGTTTGCTAAATGTATAGGCCACTAAACTATCAGTAAACAACAGAACAGAAAGAGGTTAGGTTGCCTCGCTGCCTTCCTTCGCTCATAGATGGACAGCGTTGAACTTTGAACGAAGCTTCGCTAGCTACGCATTTTCGCACGAATCGACGGAGTGGGGGGTCTTCGCCAGCGAAGCTTCGCTTGTTTTTGTAGACCACTTTGTAGAGCGGATCGGACGTGTTCCCTCTCGTCTCGGGTGTTGCGTCACCTCGACTATATTTTTGAAAAGCGTTGCCGGCTTGGACTGTGCCATAGTATTTCAATTTCGATAGTCCCTTTATCCGTCTTGGCGCGCGGCCATGCGGCGTGGAAGCGCCGTAGCCGCAGGCGCCCAGTGTCTGAAGGGGCGCCTCACCATTTTTATTGCATCATCCATTACTCGCCCAGTTCGAGGTGGTCAATGCATAGCACTCCCACTTACGATTACTGCTTTTCCGCTACATTAGACACGACTGGCCAAGTTTACCTCGTTATAAAGAGGACTAGGGCCAATGAAAGAAGAAGAAGAAGCCAGCGAAGCTTCGCTGCATGAAATTGCACCTTTATACAAGATGTAACCAACGTAGAACTCGGTAACAGACGCTCGTAACAATACAGATCGTTGTCCGTACTCTCGTTCGAACTGTTATCGCTGTTCGTACTTTCATGTGAAATGTTATCGCTTGACATATTAAGCATTCCAAAACTCAATATAAAAAGGACCTTACCCCGTACGCAGTTATATTATATATCGTTCCATCGTCGGAAATATCAAAAACCAACCCCCCCCCCCCCCATCTTATCTAATCATATTACAAATAAAGGATATACATAAAAAATAGGCAACCATGACGCATCTTATCATATTCAAAGGATGTGGTATCTTCACACATACATACATACACACAAGATATGTGTAACGAAAAGAAATCTGTAGATTCAAATTTTTCTTTTAATTTTAATAAAATGCACGCTATAATAAGCACATACATCGAGTAT